TACAGTCTTTGTCCTGAAAGGCCAGTGTGTCTGCAGAATTTCATTCTAACCTAGCTCTTAAAGTTAATAGCTTCTCCCAACTCTTGAGGTACTAATGCTTTATAGACACCTAGAAAACCTGTGGACATACCACTCCTCCAACAACACACCTGTCTTTGAAGACTGCATTATTTGTGATCTTAAATTTTAAAACTGTGTTCCACTCTTGGGAGTAATTAGTTGACCGGAACGTCAATCTGAATTGAAGTGATGTTAAGAGACCAGCATGAACCCTTTTAATTTTGAAAAGGTTCTACTCTTATTCCATTAATTGAGGTAGACTGTATTACGGTGGTAAAGTGCGTGTTTAAAGGGTGTTACGCCTTTCTCAAACACATTATTTCCAACTGCAAAAAAAATTGTGAAATGGATAGATGTGACCTGAAGTACTGTCTGGGACAGCACAGCAGTAAGGAAGCTGAAAGAGTTCTATTAATAGACCACATGAAGTCATGGCGGCTGTAGTCAATAGACACTGTAAACCCTTGGAACAAAGACGCGCATAAGACGCAAAAGGCACAGAGCCTTCATTATAAATGGCCAGCAGCAGAAATCCCGTAAATTTGCACTGAACTTCTTAGGTCTGCGAAAAACTTTAATTTTTAAGTTTATCAAAACAAAACTCTCCTTTGACCAAATTATTCTGTAACTAACACATAAGCTTGCACATCCTTCCTTAACCCTCTCTCTGTTTTTAATGCACTTGCATACACAGAAGCTATATTAAAATATGCTTCAAAGAAATTCAAACCTGACCTAACCTAGAGGAATTCTCGACAAGTGGGTTAGGGTCAGAATTCTATCCTTCAGATAAGGATAGAAATGGAAATGGGTGGTTTTTAATATGTCAACATCAAACTGCAGTTCAAGTACGTTCTCATGAACACTGCACTAAAAATATATTTAGAAGCTATTTATAATGCCCAAACTATGAGACTGCGACCGCACGGCTCTGATCAAGATGAGCCTTAATTATGACAGGCAGTAACTTAAAATCAGCTACTTGTGGGCAATTTGTTTCATGGTGGAGAGTATCTTCACATGTTATATCGTCATAACTTCCAAGGCTAAATAACTACTGTTCATCCCCTTTGGGTCCCTTAAAAAAAAGGGAATCTTAAGTGTAGAATTTACAATTTCGTGTGTGCAATTGGGAAACAGTTTTCGGAGCACATATATAAGTGTGGAGACACAAATGTGCTCCCAAACTTTTCTCTGTGCACTCAACAGCACCCCGCCCCTTCAACTCCACCCAAAAAAAAAAAAGAAAAATTCAAATGCAAGGAGGCGTTAATGTTTATTTTAAGACTGATGCAAGGAGGCTTTTTTGCATTAGTGGGAAAATGATTATATATAATTGGGAGAGATTAACATATAATAACGCAACATCAATCTGATTTTTTAAAGGTTTTGCAAAAAGGGAAAATACAAACTTCAATATATACATATCATTTATATGTTAAAATGAACTATGGAACAATTTTTTCCAAACTAAGTACTTCTGATTTTGAATACAATATAGTGAAGTTGCACTTAACGTTAGATGAGTAAAACTAATGAATATTAAGCAAACCAAAATTTATTGAAACATTGTTTCAATTTTGAAACCATTTGTTTTGAGTACATTTTTCGCATGCAACACTTTAGAGGCAGTTTTCTGCAATAATTAGTGATTTAGAGACATCAAGATGAGTTTAAGAAGAACAAGAAAAAAAACATTTGGAAGACATTCAGATACTAAAGCTTTATGAAAATTTGTTGTTTGGACAATTTCTGGGTAGAAAGAATAATGGAAAATTAGTACCTTACTGTTTACACTGCAAGTTTTATTTTTCCTATTTTATTACAACAGACAATCAAATCCTTGAAACCCAGCAACAGGAGGAAATGTGTGGACACACCCCTGTGAATGACAAAGCTGAGTTCTTACACCAGACTACTTCATCTTCTCCACAGAACACTACACCCAGGGAACCTGCTTGCTGGTTATCTTTTACAGCACAATTGCAAATGTTTAGATATTTTCTATCAGTTTTAACCTAGGTCATTCACCATCTGCTAGATTGTACCAAAGCAGTTATAGTGCTACACCACAGGAAAGAATATTTACAAAGCTCATGCATATCTGTCAAAAACTGCCTATTTATGTGCATGTAACAGAAAACACCCAACAGACAAAGGGGTACTTGAATTCTCACAGACGAACATAGATACTGTACAATACATTGATTCTTATGGGAAAACAGCTCACTGGGTTTTTGTAGAACACAGCTAATGACTGACAACATGAGAGAGTGTTAGCAGAAAGTATAGTGAAAGTATAGTGTCCTTCCTTCTGATACATTATTATAAAATGTTTTATTGTATATTTCTTTTAGTTTTTTTTTTACAAGTAAAGCACAATGAAAAACAATTCTCTTTCAGTTAACTCCACACCAAATCACCTTATAGAAATGGAAGAGAAGGGAGAGAGGTCGGAGTTATATAAAAAACTTCAGATGCTTATCAACTCTTGAGACATCAATGGAAAACATAATGACTAATCTACTTCAGATCTAATCTGAAATCTGATACAATTAATTTAATCTAATACAAAGAAGCAGACAAATCTAGGTACAGAACCTGCACAAGCTTCTCAAACCCACCCAAAACAAGCAGTTAGAATATCCTCCTGGGGTGTGTGTGAAAGTTCCTTTCAAATCTTCCTGTGCTATACCATTCAGTGACCACACCACAGATTTCAGTACATAGTGTTGTCAATGCAACACGTTGAATCAAAGAAATTGTCATATCTGAAAATGCTAAATTTATTAATTATTAACATGACATAAATATTTCAACATTTACCTGGAAGCTCATTGGTTATCCCATACAGAAGTACTTGTTATTTTCTGTGTGACTAATGCACAGCTTTTGGGTACTAAAATATTGAAGATGGGTTCAAACTTCATGGAAATTAAAAATATGTCTTCTTGAATAACACAGAATATGTAGGATATGGTTTAATGCATAAAAAACACTTTACATTATCGGATGTTTACCTTTTAACTGCTAGCACTTTAACCACTACTTAGAAAACATTGTTATTTGTGAATTCTTAGATTTTATTGAAAACCGCAAAATATTCATTTATACTGTTGAAAGACATGATACCCATAAGAGTCAAGGCCATTTGTGCACTAGGGCCTATTCTGACAATTCAAGTACGTAAAGGTTTAGGCAGTGCAGTTTATTTTTATATAATAACTTTGGAAAATTTAATTTTATGTAAACTGTTCTTTCAGAAAATTAACTGCAATATTTGTAATTATTGAAATTCTAGTTTAGTGAGACATTCAATAAACATCAGAGACTAGAAGACAATTCATTGGAAAGTACACCGGTAGCAAAGTGAAGAAAATGTCTCCTAGCTGTTTACCCCCAGGTTTTCCAATATTTGATAGGATATCCCTCATATAAGTGTCTCCCTCTTCAGAGAAAGTGCTTTTCACCACCTGCTATTTAAAAGTCACAGAGAACAACGTAAGAATCAAATTGCAACTTCACCACCAATGAAAGCCACATTGAAACAGACCTATTTCAGAATGCATTTTGCTTTTAAACATAAGACATGCCTTATAGCAAATGAAGAGCATCCATATTTTTCCTTCTTTTCTTATTTTAGCTCAGTTCATTGTCTTTAAAACAAAGTGAAGACAACATGCTAATACAAAGTACATGTGTAAGAAAACAAGCTGCTACAATTAAGCAATGTATTATACTATACTGTACATAACTTTGCAGGTATTTAAATGATTCTACTAAATGCACAATTTAGTAAAAGTACAGAAGGTAAGCATAGGTTCGTTATTTGGATATCAGTTTCTTCTGGCTCAGTGTTATATGATATTTTGCATCCTTAAAATTAGGATTTTATGCTCATTCTACCTGGACATGTTTCCTTCTAGAAGTCTTATTTCAGTCAATCATGTGGGGCCATTGACTTTAGCATGAAGATACAATATAGGTCATGTCAGGGAGAACAATCGGACAGTCTTTCTAATTGGCAGGTCTTTAGTTATGAAGCACAGTATTAAAGCAGTGACTACATATTTGCATTACAGATATATAGGGTGAAGATTTTATATGTTTTTGTAGAAGATTAGTTACAGTCCTTCAACAAAGATGCATAGTATTACGTAATTTTAAAAAGAATAGGTTGTCATTTACAAGCTAATATAACATTTATTATGCTGGTATGTAAAATAAATAATTTTTCCATTGTATCAAAAACTATTTTCAAATAGTTTATTTAATATATAAACATTTAAAAACATTTATTGTCAAAATCACACTTGTATTGCATTCAGCTATCCAGGTTGCTTTTATTTTCAGTTTTTGCAAATTCTTACTAAAGTTCACAAGTTCCTAGAGCTAAATCTCAAGATCTTTTCAGGAAGATTGTCAACATACCCTCAAGATCTGCTCTGCCTTTAATAAATCACATAAGATTCAAGTGGGAAAGGAAAAAAAAGGGCTGTCTAATAAGGAATAGTCACATAACAGCACATAGGAAGGATTTATATGGTTAGAAAGCAGGAGAAACTGGGATCTAAGAGCTGAAACATTAATTGTTTAAATTAAATTGTAAAGGTTAGATAATCATAAAGGAAAAACGTTTTTTGAAGAACACTAAGAAAGCGGTTAGCGCCAAATGGTAGTCTGATGTCAAAAAATATTTTTTACATAAAAGTGAACTTGACATGGGGATAATTATGTTTCTTACAATGTTCATTGTGACATTGTATATGCTTTCACCATAAGTTACCTTTGTTTTTCTCTGATTATATTAAAAGCACTTCCTCTGGGAGACAGCAATTCAACAAGGTGGCTTCAAGTCAAGACCGAAAGCAAATGTAACACTTTTTCCATCTCCACTGCAGAAGCAAAGTTAACACGTCTTACATAACAGTTTACAGTACCTTTCGGATTCCTGGTCGGGTGTTTGAGGTTTGCTTTCAAACCCGGTAAAGCTGCTCATGTCCACATAGCCATCGTTCTCATTGGCAGAAGAAAGCGCCCTGCTAGGATCCTCGAAAAACTCCGTAAACGTTCCTGTTCGGGTGGGTCTCCTTGGAGGGATCTGGATATTTTCATAATCGGAGTTCATGGCAGGAATGTTCTCATAATCTGACGTATCTGCGTTGGGGAAAGATATGGATCTGGGCTTGGTCAAGGGAAGGGGCATAAATGGAGGCCTTGATCGGTCCTCAAACGATTCCACTCTCGATACACTCCTGCTGAATGTCTTTGGGGTTCCTTTCCTCTTGCTGTCCTTGTAGAAGAGAAAGGTAGATGGCGAGTCTAATGCCCATGGCTTCCCTGACCGCGATTTTAGCTGTGGTGAACTGCCAAGGCTCCTTCTGTCAAGTTCTAGGACTCTTAAGGGCCCATGGTGGCTTGACTCAGAAGAAGACCTAGAAGAAGAGACGTTTACATCTACGTGCACCTTGTTTTCCGTTTTCTTCTTAAACTTTAGAGTTAGGAAACGTTTGAATGAAGATTTTTTCTTTTTTTGTTTGTCTGCAGAGTCACTCTCAATTAAAAGCGACGGGGAGCTTTTAGTGATTGGTTTCTTGGTGATGTATGCTAATTCAAAGGGAGGAGGGATGTCGACAACTGAGGTTGGAGTGGACATACCGCTGGATGGAAGGTGACTTCTCTGAGAGAAGCTACCAGATGATCCAATAAAGCAGGGCAAGGAAAGGTTGTCATCCTTTCTCTTCATTCTGCCATCCTCCCCTGTCGAACTATCATTCTCTCTAAAAACAGACATAGGCATATCCCGACCTTCAACAGAGTATGACCGAGGATATAAAATAAAACGCCTTGGCTTGGAAGGAATCATTCGGTTTATCTCTAGCTGTTCATGATCACTGAGTGGGTTACCACTTTTATCTAAGGCCACTGTGCAATATTCATTGGATTGGAGCATATCGGATTCAGGGCCAGTTTCCTCAGGCACAGTCTCAGGCACATAACCAGGCACTTTCCCAGAAAGAGACCTAGTTCTCGTTACAATACTCTTTCGGTCCAGAGAAATAAAGTTCAGGTTTTCTCCTTCAGTGTCAAGTCCAGCCTCTTCATAGACGTGCTCATCACTGATGGTATCTTCTGCTCTGTCCGTGTCTGTTTCCTCCAAGTAAGGCACAATAAGGCCTTCAAAGTCTATGTCATCCCCAAAAATATCTGAAGTGTCTGTTAATACCTGCCTATTGATCAGTTCATCTATCCTTATCACATCTATGTCTCCTGGAACTGTCATAGCGCATGGTTCATTCTGAGCTTGGTTAGTGCTCTGACTACTAAGACCTTCACCCTCTCTTTCGGTACAGTCAGCATCCACTTCTGTTTTGTCTTGGTCAGATTCCATGAGGTTGTCTGCCTCAGGTACTTCAATAAGGTCCTCAGATGGAATACATTCAACTGCTTCTAAATCCTCTGTTTCCTGAGAGACAGATCCATCTAATTCACTAGCATCTTCAACAGGCTCACTGACTTCAATTTCAGGCATTAATTCTATCATAGCAGATTGGATCTCAGAACTAAACTGTAAAGAGTCAATGGTTTCTTCAGTTGTGTCCCCTACCATGTTAGCCTGGATTTCCTCAACATCAGCTATAGCCTCTAATGAAACATTATCGGTGGTGTTCATAGGTCCCTGTTCTTCAGAGCTCAAGACTTTAAAGGTTTCGTTAACATAATATTCCTCCTCAGGTTTTGCCTCAGTTTCCAAATTATTTTCCACATCTGCAATGGGCTCATTGCCTATGATACTATCCTCAGCTGCTTCTGAGACACTAGAATCATTTATTTGGTCTGCAAGAATTTCTTGTTCACCAACTGAAGAAAAATCTACAGAGATCTCATTCTCCTGCTTCTCTGAAAATGAAGTTTCAAAAGACACAGCACACTGATTGTCCTGACGTTCTTCACTTTCTAAAAGATCCTCACAATTGTTGTTCATTAAATCATCCTCTTTTTCTTTGGGATCTTGTGTTTCTTCATAAAAAGTCATAGACTCTTGTGAAACTGCAGCAGGTGCATCATCCTCTTCAGCAATTCCACACCGAGTGTCGATAGCTGGGGTATTATCACTGAGGCATTCCTCAACAGCCTCTCTCTTGGCATCATTTCCTGCATCTTGACTTAATTCTTCATCAACCTCAGCACCCTGCTGGGTGTCTACTAATTCATAATCTTCATTTGCCTGATGAGGTTGATGTTCAGAGGATTTGTTCACTTCCTCATTATCACAAGCTTCAGCAATTTCTGAAAGTTCATCATCAGCCTCAAGCGCTTCATGTGAACCACAGCATGCTGGTTCAGTTAGGTCCGCATATTCAGCGTTACTAATTTCAGCACATTCCATTCTATCAGTGCCTTCAGTGTCAACGGGGTCCATTAAATTTCCCTCACCCCCCTCTTCATCCTCTTCAAGTTCCTCTCCGTTGTCACTAGAACCAAGGGCCACAGCATCAGAACACAGCTCCAGCAGGTGTCCCTCCTCATTGTCACATTCTTCTCCGTCATCAGTAAGCTGCTCATTGTCAGACAACAGAATATAGCCATCACCTGTTATCTGGAAACTGTCGGACTCATTCTCTTGATTGAAGTCCTCTTCAGAGCACAGTAACGTGCCATTGGAGCATCTGTTGAGGCTATTGTTCGTATACAAGCAACACTTTTCATCTGAGTCCTGCAGAAGCTTTGGTTTGGGAGCAATAGGAGGCTTGGGACCCCGGGCTGAGGAGCAAGGTTTTGACATCAGTGACGAAGGCAACTTAGAAGTCAGGTGACTAAGAATCTTTGGTTTTGGTGCTAGGGGTGGCTTCTTATAATCTGAAAAGAGAGGAAAAAACATTAGCTCCCTAAATGTCTGCTGATCATAATGACACTTCCATTATCAATTATCATTTTCCAATCCTTTAAAAACTACATCATTGTAAGAGAGCAAATTAATAAGGGCACATTGAAGGACTGAAAAACTCTTTTTTTTTTTACTGAACTCATAAATATCTTAAATAATGAACTGAAGTTTATTTAATAATTACTGCATAAAAAAGGCATCTAAAGGTTAGTTGATGTAAAACTACTTTAATAAAAATAGGTAATTAATACTCAATAAGGCTGTGTTCTGTCAAATCATTCTTAAAATACTTGTATAATGCAAACTGTAATAGTACTGGCTACAGCCAGGCATGATGCCAGCAGACACCAGATTCCTGCACAGCTCTGTAAACACGCCTCGGTCCTGACCTACACCACCCCAGACATTAGTCCAGGACCTCTCCCATGTATGACTGACGCATAGTAAACAATTCTGAATGTTTTTGTCAAACAAACATGGCCTGTGGCCTACTGAGGCCTAAAAGTAGACAACCCTTTATACAAATTACCTCTATAGATTTCTCTACCCTGCTCTGAATTTATCTCTAATTTCTATACCACTACTTCTTCTAACGTCTAATTGCAGTATAATAAATGTTAAATTTCAGCTTTATTGTAAAGCACTGTAGAAACATCTTTATATATTTAGTATATAACATTCATCATTGTAACACTTAACACGTACTCAGTCTTTTATAATCATTAAAACATGAAGGTTTAGTATGAAAGATTTCCTAAAGTGAATTTTGATATTACGTTGATATCATTTTAACATTTTCTATATAGAAATCAGTTTCATAATTATCCTGAAGTCTGCCGTAAAAGGATAATTCCTATACCACTTAAATTAAGAAACAAAAATATATGGTAAAAAAATACATAATTCAACCTAATGTATCAGTATTACTTAGCCTCTGGACAGTAGTTTGAATTGTGAAACTACTGCAAGAACATTTAAAGAGTGTGTGCTGTAACTATGGATATTTCGAACTTTAAGACAATGTAAACCTGAATTCCCTAAACAGCAGAAACTGAATATTAAAAATATAAACTCAGCAACAAATAGTTGTGAAAAACATACTGTACCTTGCATTTTTTTTATAGAAAACTTACTTTGACTTTGTGGAAAAAGACCTCACTTGTAAATAATAGCTACTGTAATATTTTTCTAGATGACAGAATCTTGATTTAGACAGCCAAAAAGCTGACAGCTCATATAACAAATACCCCCATAACTGTCAATAGTAGCTAATAGCTGGGGTGGTGAGTTTTCTGATTTATTATTTTAACATATATAGTTGCAAGAAAACGTTTGTGAACCCTTTGGAATTACCTGGATTTCTGCATTAATTACTCATAAAAATGTGGTCTGATCTTCAACTAAGTCACATGAGATCAACTTCAACTATGAGATGAGATTGGAGGTGTGGGTTGGAGGTGACCTGCCCTATAAATAAGGTACACAAAGGTTGGTTACTGACTGAGTCTGCTCTTCTCAAGAAAGAGCTGTTAATGTGACCCATGCCCCAATCAAAATAAATATCAGAGGACCTTAGAAGAAGAATTGTAGAGATGCATAAAGCTGGAAAAGGCTACAAAAGCATTTCTAAAGGCCTGGGTGTTCATCCATCCACAGTAAGACCAATTCTCTACAAATGGAAGAAATTCAGTACTGTTGTTACTCTCCCTAGGAGCAGGTGCCCTGCAAAGATCATGGCAAGAGTGCAGTGTGCAATGCTGAAGGAGGTGAAAAAGAACCCTAGGGTAATGGCAAAGGACCTGCAGAAATCTCTTGAACTTGCCAAAGTTTCATGTGTCCACTATAAGAAAAACACTGAACAAGAATGGGACAATGTTTTGTGGACGGATGAGACAAAAGTTGAACTCTTTGGCAGAAAAGCGCAATGCTATGTTTGGAAGAAAAAAAGCACTGCACACCAATACCAAAACCTCATCCCACCCGTGAAGTATGGTGGAGGGAGAATCATGGTTTGGGGCTGCTTTGCTGCCTCAGGGCCTGGGCAGCCTGCTATCATAGAGGGAACAATGAATTCAAAATTGTATCCAGAAATTTTGCAGAATGTCAGGGTAGCGGTCCGTCACCTGAAGCTTAATAGAAGTTGGGTGATGCAACAGGATAATGACCCAAAACACAGGAGTAAATGAACAACAAAACGGTTTAAACAGAAGAAAATTTGTGTTCTGGAATGGCCAAGTCAGAGTCCAGACCTCATCCCAATTGAGATGCTATGCCATGACCTGACGAAAACTGTTCACGCAAGGAATCCCAGAAATATCAATGAACTGAAACAGTTTTGTAAGGAGGAATGGTCTAAAATTCTCACGTCTCATCAGCAGCTACAAGAAATGTTTGGTGGAGGTTACTGCTGCTAAAGGACAGAAAACAACTTACAAAACATGGTAATAATGAGACAATGGCAACAAGAGCAGAGTCACTGCATTGTAGCCGGACCAGAATTTTGAAACCAATCTTCTAGTATGGTGACACTGTGATGTAGGGAGATATTGCTTTGAATGAGAAGTTAAACAGAGGTCTTTACTACAGTATATGACCACTAAAGATACTTTGTCATAGAAGACCACGGCTATTGTCCCTTAGCTAAGCAAAACATTATAAGATCAATGTACTTCCAGCTGTCACTTCCTCTGATTCTCTGTTACAATTCTCTACTCAGAATGTGTTTTTGCTGGAAGGGTTAGTCAGCATAGAGAAAGAACAATGAAAGCAGAAACAACAACAGAAAATCACACGAAAGGCAATACAAGATAAACAGCAAGAATGCAAATGAAGAGAATAAAACTGGCATTGAAACCAACTAGACCTTGGAGATGAAGTCCACAGGATATGATCTCAGGTACACATTGTGATAAACAACACCTTTATAACTACCACCTCTACAGATTGACATACAGTAGGAGCACAGATTGCCATAATTACTATACAGTCTACAGGAAGACTGAATTGTGAGAGAGGATGTTTCTCACCAGTTCTGTGGTGATTCAGAGGAATGGCAAGACACTTTTATGGTTCTCTTCATCGCCGGTTAATTTCTGAATCCCAGTTCCAGAGGTTAAGATTTTCTTTTTCTCCGTTCTGCTTTTATTATTGTAAATGTTAAGACAATTATTACTAAAATAGATTGCTAAGCCAACAAAAGGCAGGATCACCATTCCAATAAAGGGAATATCGTACAGTATATCAGCCTTATCTGAAATGCAACTTGCTTCTTTTTTATTTATGGCAGGGAACAGCCATACCACTATGAATACAAAATAATCTTTTTGTAATCTTTTGCAGATTCTTAACCTCATACACATTTTTATTTTTACCTTTTTGGGACCTTTCCATTGACTCTCATTCAAATTACTGCTCCAATTCTCACTAAGATTAAACTCCAGGCAGGATGGAAATAGTCAGAACTAATATGCTTGTCACTTTTAGATGTAAAAGAAGACGGTTATCTGGATCATAAAAAGTAATTTGAATGGACATCACCACATCATTGTTTGGCGGGACTGTATACAAACAAATGCACCTAAATTTCTACTTCCTTTTCTAATGCTATCTTTAACTATTTTTTCTTCTCCTTCACTAAAGGTGTATTTCACTCATAATGCTGTAGCTATGGAATAACAATATAACACACAACATTTTAGGTTTCTAAATATTTTATGGGCCTGTAATATTGGAAACAGTTTTTGGACAGTTTTAATATTCTCAGTCATAATTATTACTACTGGAAGATTAGGGTTGGCTGGATGTTGCAATCATAAAAAACTTTTCAACAAGATTTTTGGAAATAATATTTAAGTCAAATGTGCATAATATATAATTTTATTAAACCTTTTGCTCACATTGAATAACTGGTTGAGTTTAGACTATCAAAGAGTGTATATATGAAATAAGAATTATAAAACAAGTGATTGTTAAAGATTAATAAGACATCATAATGTTCATAACATTCATAATATGATGTGTGGTTTGGGCTGGGAGGTTGTGGGACAGCAAACGTTGCATATGGAGAATACGATATGTTACATAATACATAATATGTACATGTACCTGTACATACAGATGCAAGTTATTGACATATACTGTAGCACTAAGCCTCCTCAAAACAAAGGTAAAACTACCACCCAACGGCAAAATCAATGAACTTAAGTATTTGCATCAGCAGCACTTTGGATTAGTTGATCGGTAGTTCTGCTTTAAATGTAATGCAATTAATAGGCGCTTTAGTGCATGATAAATGCATTTGTAAATATTTAATTTGGTGCTATTTTGAAAAGGGGCTCCTTAGTGACTTCGTGTTTTTCAGAAGGGTGACTCGAAGAGAAACAATAGAAACACTAGTTTAGTGCTACTGTCCAGCTACTGTACAGTAGGTGTTTAGTACAGGTCTCCCTGAAATAGTTACTGGAAGCGCAGTATTTCATTGTGGTACATTTACAGGAATCATTTAATTCATGAAAGAGCCTCAGGAACTCAGTGTTTATATAGCACGAACCACAAAATTGTACTTCTACAAGAAATATAGCGGCAGATCATCATAATAACGCTTTTACTACAGGAGTTCTTGTTTTTGTTTGTTTTTCCTCAGTTATATAAAGAACAAATAACCTTACTTTCATAACACAACAGCTTGATGTATTTTCCTTCCCATAGATTAAGGAACTCACAATTTCAAGAAAAGGTGTATATTTGATTGTCCTCTTATTTTTCTTTTCATGTAAATTCCAAGTGTGGTTACTGGTTACTGTAAATCGGCATGAAATCACCTAATTATGCCCCGTTCTGATACTCCAAGAAGAGACAGAGATTTTATTTAACTTAAATGCGGGTATTTGTTCAGAACTATTCGTTACAGATAAAACTTCAAAATTACACAAAACCCAAAACCAAACATTATGTTACTCTCATTCAGAGAAAAATTCATTCATTAAATTTCGTTCTCTGAATTTGTATTCAGCTTAATTTTTCTGAGGTCAACAATTTATACAATTGTATAAATATGCAATAGCTTAATTTCGCGATATTCTTTTTGGTAAGTAAATGACCAATCGTCTTTGGAAAAGTACTTACCTGTATTCATATTGGGACACCATCCAAATCTGCTGTAGTCTCTTCACAACATTACACCTCCCGATGCTTTGCGCGCAGGGTTACATCCAAAAGACTCAAGAAACTTATCCTAGAAAATTCCAACAGAAGTAAAAGAAGTTGTATGGTCAAAAGTCACTGAAATTATCATCTTTTCCAACCCTTTTATCTCTCCGTCATTTTGGTTTCTCCTAAACTGTTAAGGTCCTCAGCTCTCCAAGTGCACATCGCATTTGCTGAAGTGGTGCTGAGTGCGCTAGCGTTCGGAGCTCTGGCTGCGGGAGGCATTTCCCTTCGTTTCCTGAAGAGGAAGCTCTTTTGCTCAGTCAGGGATTGTAAACCAAAGTAAATTGCTCAGATTCAGGCAAAACCAATTCTGGTTTAAAGAGACAGAACCCACACCTCTTGCAAATGCGAAGAGTGCCGAGAGATGTCTCAGTGACTTACTGTACATGTATAACACAACGCGGTATTCCCCGGTTCAGAATGAGAATTTGCACTTGTGGCGCTTGAGTCTCAGCGAGAGGAGTTGTCATGCCTTCCAATCAAGTAATAGGTAGTAAAGTTCTAACACCATTTTACAAACCTCTTAAAACGTATTTGAGACTCCGTAGTGACGGGCATTTTCTTAATGTGTTAATTCATTCTTAATTTGACAACTAAAATCAACATTTGCATATGGCTTTAAAAACTGTCGATAAGAGTTTATAACGAGGTTAGACCGCTTAATTTTGCCAACTTGCATTGCTACTGCAAAAAATCGACGCCAAATAGACAATATGAAATAAAATAAAATAGTAACAGTTTTTATTAAGGATTTAATAGGCTTGAATAACTCACCTGGAACGCATTTCATCCTAGTTGATTCTCTTCCATATTTTCAGACTATAATTAACTGACTTTGTCTCCTGGCTTATTTTCCGTTTATCTCACAGAAGTTAGTAGGGAATATTGGAATGAAGAAATGTTTAATAGCTTCAGTGCAATGATGTGAAATTTAGATTTGCCAAAACTATTATGCAACATATGTCATCTGCATGTTAATTACAAATATCTGTAACACAAATGGTGTTTAGAATACATCTAAAATGAGAAACTACCGCCTTCTGGAATATATTTATCTTTGTGACTAGGGTTATGCAATATAAAATAATTTGTAATGTTTTGGTAACCACTACTAAAGGAACCCACATAACATAAGAAGAGGATAATTTGACGGATTACAACACTTTGTATTTAAATGGTGATGCTCTGATTAAGTAATATTTACATTTTATAAACTGCAGGGAATGTGTACAGTATACAGTATATAAATATCAGGAATATTTTCTAAGGCTTAAAGAAAATATTCATTTGGACTCAAAAGATTGTCTAAAGTGGTAAATCTGCTTTTGAGTCAGCATCCTGTAGTTTAAAATGAAACAACAGTGTAATTCAAGCAAACCAATAACTTGGTTTCTACCAGTAATCACTATCAGTGATAAAATGTAAGTGTGATAAATCACTTTATCATATAAACCATAAGTGATTTCATAAAAATGAAACTGATGCTGCCAATGGGTGTTTGGGATTTTAATCCTGGTCAAAGAAATTTTTCATTGAAATCTTTCCTAAATGCTTGGAGTTCCAACATACTTTGCTAAAAACAGTTTCTCTAGGATACCAGTAGTCTTTGTCATTATAAGCCTGGGTTTCCTGTCCATACATCTGTTGTCTGATTGGAGGAAAACAGTCCTTTAAAACCTTGCTTCATAACAGGAAACTGTTCTCTCTGTTTCCTGCACTACAGGCACCACTTCCTTAGCAACAGATGGACAGACCTGGCATGGTTTAACCCCTTAGGGTACTATAATGTACCATAACGAGAACTGCGCATTGACATTTTGTGGTTCTGAATGACACAGTGACAAACAACTTCTACACCTGGAACAACATTTTCCTAAAAATACATTCAGTTCCCACAGACTTAGATAATAAATTCAAATGCCATGTATTTTACAGTTATTTTACAATTATTCAATCAGCTTTACACATACTGTACAATTACTCTAGGTAAAGATAAAGTTACTTTTTGACGGTCCTGGATCTTCCATATATTGTTTATTTTGCACATTTTGCATTTTGTGTCACATCTTACTAGAAAACTGTAAATGAATATACAATTTACTGTACATAAACATAGGGCCAAGTATGTTCTTGTCACATAAGAAAAATGAAGCAGATAACACTCTGGTTTGTCTTTCAAATCACATACAGTATAGAAAATATACGCTTGGATGTTGATAATGTACCAAGTGCTACATGTGACATCCACATTTTTACTTCAGCATTACTGCAACATACCACACATTGCCACAGCATTAAAATAAAACTATTGTTATATCACCCTTCCCAAAACATTTGTGAAAAACATAAATGTCTGGAAAGCCTCATTATTCAAATCAACTAGAGCAAGCCCTGCACCTTTGGGGAATTCAGTATTGCTCTGAATATTAAAGGATGAACTATTGAACATCAGGAAGATCTGGAACTGAACCAGGACAAAGGAGAGTTCTTCGTTTTTGAGAAGGGACACAATCCAAGCATTCCATTTCACATTAGATGGTGAAGTTCTGCATGGCACTTTTGATTTTTTTTAATGAATAAAAAAACTATCCAAGAAGACCTATAAAAAAACCCATAGGTTGCCAGGAACGTTGCATGACTGGACGGCTCATTTTTCCTTCCACCATTCCCTGACTAGATCATTTGGTTTTAATTTCTCCAGGCAGCAGACATTCCAAAAAGCTGCTGGAGGAGATTGGAGGAGAAAGTAACTGTAGAAATGACATCTGCAGCTTTAAAGACATTGTAATGAAACTTCAACTCAAATAATGGAGGAGAGTTTAAATGGATTGGACTGGACAATGCAAAAACAGAAGTGTAAATAGGTATGATTATTATAATACTGACAGAACAAGTAGTTTTTAAGCTATCATATTTGAAATGAATACTTCGTTGTCTTACTGCACCAAATGTGAGATTAAAGAACAGTGGTTTGGCAATGGGGTAGCACAGTGGAACAGTAGTTAGCATTAGTGCCTTTCAGCACTGAGGCCCTGGGTTTAATTCCTGGGGTGCTATGTTTGTGGTGTTTTTCATGTTCTTCCTGTGTGTGTAGGTTTCCTCCCACAATCCAAAGAATGGTAGCTTCACTGGCTTCTAGGATAAATGGCACCACTGGGCATGTGTGTGTTTGGATCTTTGTGCTCTGCGATGTACTGGTGTCCCATGCAGGGTGTATCCTCCCTTGTGCCTGTTGCTTGCCATGTCCCTGTTTTAGATGAAGGGATTAGAAAATAGATGAACGGTTTGGCCATTCGACATCAGGCTGGGTGAAAGACTGCATGTGATCAGAAAATCAGAAAATAAATGAAACATTTTATAGTCTTCCAGCAATCTATTATCAGAAAGCTGCTTATGTTTGTTGAGCATCACGCCAATCCAATGCCTATGCTGGAAGCACTGGAAGTAAGGCGAAACCACACAATTTCCAAACCCACTGTCTCGTTTCTTATGCATCCTCCTGGAGATAGGCAAAAACGTCACATCAAAGACAGTTTTGGAGTTTAAATATTCAAAGTCTAGACTGTCTTGCAAAAAAGAGAACTTTCCTGATTAACTTTGAATCTTTAACAACCTAGATAAAACAAGGTAGAACCCAGGCTGTGTTATTTTCTGGTTCTGACTATGAGTGGCAGTTTGAGCAGGAATATGTAGCCTCATGCAACAAAAAATTAAACAGCATCATCTGACGGGTGATGAGCTTTGTATACTGTAGGGACTCTTTCAAGGCAGCTCAGCTTCACTTTTTACTGGAACCTAAATGTTGCTATGAAGTTACTGGTCACACATAAGATCTCTGAATGTACAAGTGAGTGCCTTTGATACAACGGGTCAGTGTGGCTACAAAGCAGTAACACCTTTGTCACATTTAAACAAAACGGTTTTACTATTTACCTGGAAAGATACACAAATGACAGATAATATTTTTAAGTTTATTTATACATTTATTTCTCTCACCTCTGAATTCTAATTATTTAAAAATGTTTTTGGTCTTTCCCTACACCAAGCCACAAATTCTGCAATGTGCCTACAACGGAATTAGAAATGAACACATCTAGCCCATATAAACTGTCACAAAACTGAAATGTGGAACATATGAACATATTGAAATAAAGCAAGACTGTGCTCCAATCTTTGAAAAGCTCCCATTTACAGAAGGCGTTGTGGGTTTCAGATTGCTGGGGTTATTTTATCATCATTTTCATTATTATCAGTTTTTTATTATTACAGTCATTTATTACCTCTATGTGAATGTGAATTTCTAGAATTGATTACTGATCTGTGTAGTTAAAAAAATAATCACTTTGAAACAAATATTAAAATATTTTTAAAACATTTTTCTTTAACAGCCTTAAACTGAATGCTGAAATAAGAAAATGAATGTATTAACCTGGTTGCTAAGTATTTTCTTTTTACCATAGTGTATGTCAAGTTTAAAAAAAATATTTTGCAGAGTGATTTTTTTAATAATGCACATAATCATAACAAGAGTTCATAACAATAAGCAAGTCTCACGATGACAGAGCAAAACATTTGGTGCTGCTAAACATGACCTTTGGGGTGTTTGGCAAAAAATATGTTTTCTTTTCAGGCCCTTTTGGGGGGAAAATAAATGCACAATGGCACAATGAATTGTGCTAGACAAAATGTGTTTTTTTTCGTGGTAAATAGTGCTCCAGATGTGCCACAGATGAAAACATGTTTTCAGATCAGGACTTGAGCTTCCTTATTGTTAGTGCAGTTAAGCTTTGTAAAGTGCGGTGGTGTCATTCTGTCTGTTGGGTACCTCTGATATTGTGTCAGTAACGTCATGAGGAAAACAAGTTGTTGGAACGCATCAGCCACAGGAAGTTCCCTTGAAAGGGTCACTGACACGCAAAACAAAGATTCAAATCGCAACTCCAAAGAAACAAACGTCCAACCCTCACTTTCTTAATACCAAAATAAGCCTGTGAATGCCAAGTCAGCTCCATTAGATCGACGCTGCGTAGGAAGCATATACTGTAGCTAAAAAAAGCGCAGAGTGAAATAACAAATTTTAGTTGTATTTTTTCCTAAGGATATAAAAATAGATCCGCCCGACAAACCGTTAGGAGTCCTATAAAATGAGCTAATGTTCTCAGCAGCAGGGCGAATGTGGTTGAATTTAGCAGCGGACAAACCTCTAGCCTTGAAAGCAATCCTGACCAATTT